CTTATAGTAGGCCTTATAGAACCCTCTAAGGAGGCCTTTAAAACGAACTTCCCAAACCCCATCCTAGCTATCAAGGCCCCTAGGTTAGAGCGTAAGACCCGTACTTCTGAAGCCCGGAACTCCTCAACTCTTAGGGTTTAGGGTTTAGGGTCCCTCAAGGCTGACACACCAAAACCTGCATGGCAAAGTAACCCATGAAACGCCGGAAAAAAAGCGTAAGAAGGCTGAAACTGTAAAACAGTTGTGCCGAAGATAAAGACAAGAAGAACATCAATCAGGAGCAGAAACATAATCAGAATGAGAATAACAATGACAAAAAAAATACAAGGAAGAGCTTGAAAGTCAACTCCCCTCGGTCTCTGGCCAGGAACCCCACCACAAGGAGGAGACCTACGAGACCTGCAGTCGGGTTTAGGGTTGAGGGTTGAGGGTTGCGTAGCGTTTGGGTTTAGGGTTAGTTTGGGGTTCAGGGTATAGGATTTCAGGGTTTAGGGTCTAGGGTTTAGCATTTAAGGGCTTCGGGTTTTGGGTGTAGGGGACAGGGCAGCGGGGAAGGCTTGTTCAAGGGCGCAGGAGCATCGGGTCCAGCTTTTTGTTTCGAGCGGTTGTAATGTAGGGTTCCCTTGAGGGTTTTATGGGGCACAACAAGGATGAATATAGAGACTTTAATAATTAGAACAGGGTTTTGGGACCCAATATACTATAGTTATAATAAGGAACCCCCAAAATAGTAATCGGATTATTGGTAATTATTTAGGCCCCTACATTACTTGCGGTCTCGCTTTTAGGGTTTCGAGGCACCCTTCTAGTATGGTCTAGGAGTTCCTTTAGGTTCTGTAAGGGTTGTATGCGGGTTCTGGGTCTAGGGCTCCAACATATGGAAGGGATCGTGCTGATGGGTGTGAAGGGTTTAGGGTTTAGGGTTTAGGGTTTAGGGTTTAGGGGGTGATTTTTGTTGTGATTAATTGGTGTATTGGCTAAACCCTAAACCCTGACTAAACCCTAAACCCAATGGTGTTTGGGCTGTGCAGGGCTTGTATCGGCCTGTTAGGCCTAGGGCCGTTGAAGCCGTGGGCGGTTTCTGCATTTCGGATGCAGGGAAAAAGGCTTCGGACTAGGCGGCTTTCAGGGGACGGCATGGGGCAACGCATTCTTGTTGTTGTTAACCATATAAATAAAACTCTAGAACTATTACTATAACTGTTCAATCAGATGAAAAACCTTGCACCCGGAAAGATACAGCTAGTACTATAACTATTACTATTTCGCACAGTAGACGCTTCCAGTGTACCGAGTGTTTGAACCACTCTTGGCGCAGGATGTGGTGCCAGAAAGGAGGGCAACATCATGTGCTCGCACGCCGCGCACGAAAGCGCAGAGTTCAGGGTATGGGGTTTAGGGTAAGTCGACCTAGAAAGGGATGCTCATCAGCGTGGCTGTGGCTGGCATTGCTGATCTCAACCGAAGCTTGAAAAGATACATAAAAAAAAGCACGCTTCTATGGCCCCACAGGCACTCTGCAGAAACCAGTACCCTAAGAAAACCTTGTAACAATCCGTTTGTGATCAAGTCCTATAAAAACCCACAAATAAGGACCGCTGTAAGCCCCTATACAAACCCTAGACAGCACCTGTATGTGAATCATGCCCAAAACGGACCCTTGCAAGGCCATCTGGAACCTGCAAAATCAAAACCCGAACCGCTAGCTGCAAGCCCTGAACCCCATATAAAATCCTACAGAAACCCTGCACCCTCGACCCCGACATGTCTCTCTCCAAAACCTAAGAGGACCCCGTACCGTAATCCTCTTTGGGACCCGCAACGATTCCTCCAAGGAACCCTAGCAGTACACTTAAAGCTTGCCAGAATGAGAGGATATCAGAAACCCTAGCAGTACACTTAAAAGCTTACCAGAGTGAAAGGATACCAGAAATGGGAGTTTCCGAAAATAGAGGACCCTAGTATAGTACCCTAAATAGTAGGATCCTTACTATAAAGACCCAAAGTAAGATACCCCTTCTTTCCGGAAACTCCCTAAACCCTACGCCCTAAACCCTAAACCCTAAACCCAGAAATCACGAGGAGCCGGCAGGCGGCTACGAGCCATCCCAAGGCGCTGCTTTGCGAGCCGTCGGCCGGCTCGCCTGCGCCTGGGCTTTCGGGCTTGAGGGCTTAGGGTTTAGGGTTTAGGGTTTAGGGTTTGGGGTTTGGGGTTTGGGGTTTGGGGTTTAGGGTTTAGGGTTTAGGGTTTAGGGTTTAGGGTTTAGGTCAAGTTTCATTGGGGGCTCCTCTGTAAAAGGAGTCTAAAAGGATTCTATAAAGGTCTCTGCTGAGAAGTGTCACGAGCTTTTTTTCTGTGATTTTTTTACAAGATTTTGTAAGGGTGCTACCGGCTACAAGGCTTTAGGGTTTGAGGATGGGTTTCGGGGGGTTTGAGGCTTCGAGACTGGGGCTTCTGGCTTCAGGGTTACTGACTTAGGGCTTCAGATCTCAGGGTTTAGGGTTTAGGGTTTAGGGCTTAAGATCTTAGGGCTTTCATATTAGGGCTAAAGATCTTGGGGTTTTAAGCCTTTTTGCCGTATTAGGGCTCAAGATCTTAGAGTTTTCGGCCTTTTTGCCGTGTTAGGGCTTAAGATCTTAGGGGTTTCGGCCTGTTTTGCCGTAGGGCTGATGGATTCTGGAGCTGTGGGCTTTGTACGGTTCAAAGTTCCGGGCTCCAGGACTCGAAAGTGTGGATTTTTCGTTCGGTAAAGGATCCTCATTCGTCAAGGGCCGAAGTCGCTTCCCTCCTCCTTATGAGAGGCTGAGCATCATCATCGGCATGACCACAACCATCGTTATTCAGCATGATCACGACCATCATCATGATGATCCCGATCATGGCCAAGACCATGAGCACCATCATCATCACCACCATCCGCGTCATCATCGCCATCATCCTCAAACCCTAAACCCTAAACCCTCCTTCATCATCGTCATCGTCTCCCTCCTCTGCATCACTGTCGTCATCATCGCCGTCGCCGTGCTGCTGGGGGTAAGGAATCTCGCGAACTTTTTCTGGATTTTGGTAAGCATGATCAGGTTTGTTTCTAAACATGTGGTCAGAAGGTTCTGAAGGCCACATGTCGGGTTCTTACAATGGTCTCACAATTTTCTTTCTAAGGCGTAGATTGAGCTTTTTACATTCAGGGTTTTGGGGTCCTAGTCTTAGGGTTCTTGAAGAATTCAGGGGTTGTTTTTTTAGGATTTAGGGCAGGATTTAGCCTTTCGGGTCGAGGGGTCAGCTGTAGAAACTGTCGGGATTGGAGCTTATTGGAAAACGTTAAGCCTTAAACCCCATAAAACCGTAAACCCCAAAACCCCTAAACCTCTGAATCCCTAAATCCCTAGACCTAAACCCAGCACGGGGGATTTTCGTGCAAGAAACCACAAACCCCTAAACCCTAAAGAATAAACCTGACCCTGTAGAGCCCCACAACCCACGGCCGGCCTTGGGCAGGATCAGTGGGAAGTGGTGCCAACGTCGTGGTTGGCACCTGAAATGATGTTTAGGGTGTAGGGTTTAGGGTCTAGGGTTTAGGGTTTAGGGTTAAGGGTTTAGGGCCCAAAGCCCAGGAACCCTCAATGACTCAACATTATAGACGGAAAACGTGTCATTGCTATACAGCTTGCCCTAACCCTACCCTAAACCCTAAACCCTAAACCCTAAACATAGCTTGCCCAAGCCTGACCCCTGGCCCTGAACCCCAATGGAGCTTGAATCCTGAACCCTGACCCCTAGGCCCTGAACCAGATCACCAATGCCTCAGATTCAGGGTAGGGGTTTTGGGGTTTTGGGGTTTAGGGTTCAGGGGTTTAGGGGTTTAGGGTTTAGGGTTCAGGGTAGGGGTTATCTCGCAGATGAACCATCATTAGCACTCCAATCTGCTCAGACCCGCTTTCTGAATCTCAGACTGACCCTCTTGCAATACCTGAATCTGCAGTGCTCGGCCTCTTCGATACTAATGATACTACTGAACTTTACGAGGTTAGTAAAGGGTGGTCACAAGGGCCGTTCCATCAGCATGAGTTGCCAGCGAGAGTCCAACAGGACAAGAAAGTACGCCTAATTGAGGATTTGTCGCAGAATCATATCAACGAAGCCTTTGCGAGTTTTGGTAAGATCGAGTTGCACGACGTGGAAACGATAGCTTCTGCAGCCTTGTACTATTCCACGAAGATATCAAACAGGATGCTCAGCGAAGCTGGCCATAATGAGCTCAACCCTAAACCCTTCTAGAATCTGAAGGCCGAAATACAAAACTGGAGCTCCAACGCCCTGGGGCTTAGTCCCGAAACGTCGCTTGAAGGTTTCGGGTTTAGGGCTTGGGGTTTAGGGTTTAGGGAAAGTTTAGGGTTTAGGGTTTAGGATTTAGAACATGGACAGAAAATACACTGCGGGGATACGGCCTACCCCCGATTATTGAACTTACAACACATGGCCTGCAGTGAACATGTCACACAGACAGAACTTCTCGGGGGCAACAGACAGCTTCAACCAACCCAAAGCTACTTATACAAAAGACGGAAAGATATTATTACTCGTGTATTCGCGCAAGTACACAAGCCTATCAAACATAGGGTTGGGTTAAAGTTCTAAACTCTAAATCCCTGAACCCTAAACCCTAAACCCTACACCCTAACCCCCCCAAAACCTCTACCCTAAACTCTAAACCCTAAACCCCCAAACCCCTAAACCCTAAACCCTAAACCCCAAAACCCCAAAACCCCAAAACCCCAAAACCCTGAACCCTAGATCTGCAAAAAACTTCTACCCTAAACCCTAAACCCTAAACCCTCAACCCTCAACCCTAAACCCTAAACCCTCGACCCTAAACCGTGAGCCTTTACCACCAATGGCCCGAGGCTCGTAGCCGGAGGGCCTGGCGAAAGAGGTTAGGGGCGCCCGGAAACCACGAGCTTCGGTTGAGGGTTTAGGGTTTAG